GGTGTGGGGCAGTGCTGGGGTGTTGGGAGCCAGGACTCCCCTCAGGCTGCCCACCCCAGGGGGAGCTGTCCCATTCAGGTCACCCCACAGCATGAGGGAAGACTCCATCAGCACCAGAAAAGCCTGAGATCTATTTATTTGTGGGTTTATTAGGCCAGGAGGAAGGTTGGGGGAGGCCCAGCTCTGCCCCTCTTAGGCCATCCTGGGCATGAGGGAAAGGGCTGAACCAGACCTGGCTCAAGCCCCAAAACCAGAGTCCCTTCCCTGCTCCTCTTGGCAGCTGCCATGTGCCCCCCAGGGCACCAGGGCTGATGGTATGAATTGGGATGAATTAAAAAGGAAACAACAAGCTGGAAAATTCTGGACATTATTCCCCAGCATCCAGACTCCTCACGCCAGTATGAATTTGCAAAATAAAATAAGTGCTTTCCTCCCCTTCAAAAAAAAAAAAAAAAGGCTTTTTTAGAGCCTGAATTGTGCTGGGTGATGGTGACTGGAAAGACAGACAAAACCAGTGGATTTAAGCTGCCCCCACCCTGGGAAGCAGCTTTCCAGGGTGCTGTGCTGGCCTTGCACCTTCCCCCGATGTAGGATGGTGCCAGCACACCCTGGGCACTCGTGGCACAGGCAAGGGCTCCACGTGCATCCTGCACTGCCTGCAATGACAGGAGGCTTTTTTCCAGCATCATTTTCACGTGCCTGCCTACACCACTCACAGAATTAGCCAACCCTGCAAGGCAAAGGAGGAGAAAACAGTCCTGGCTGCTCCTCCATGTGCCACTGGACAGTGGGCCAGCACCAGCTCCTGCTCTGCCAGGAGGGATGGAGGGAGTGGCAGAAGGTTTAAGGAGGGATGCACTGCCCATCACTTCCCTGGGTTGGAAAAACCCCTCCCAGGACCTGGCAGTGCCCGTGCCAGCCGTGGGGAGAGGGGCAAGTCCTGCCCTCCCTGCTCTGGCACACACATTTAGGACCTGAGGGTCCTCCAGCCACTTTGCTGCTATTTCAGCACCTCCAAGAAGAGGCACTATGTAATAATAATATAAATAACTATGCAGAGGCAAAAATACATGAGAAAAAATTTGGTTTGCCATCCCTCTGAGGCTCTTTCTTTGGGAGAACTTGCATTTTCAGTTCCCATCTTTTTCACCAAGCTGGTCCTCTTTCCACCTCCCTTTCCCTGGTGGAATCCTGCTCATAATTAAACTTCAGTGTTTGGACACAGCCCATTGCAGCTCGTGGGTTGATTCTTACCCAGGGCCAAGAAAAAAGCAGAATATTTCTTCACTTCTACAGGGTTTCTCCCAGCAGCTCCTCGAGGGTCGTCTCCAGTGTTGATTAACTTTCTCAGGACTCCTGGGAGATGGTGACTGTTTAGGAAGATTCTCAGTAGTGGGAGAGCAAACCGAGAGACAGGATGGCGCCTGGGGAGGACGGGCGGAGCATCCTCCTGGGTGGGGCTCAGGGAGAGGGTCTGGGGGAATCTGGGGGTGGCCCAGCCCGGCTGCCCCATGGGTCTGGGGGCTGGAGAGGCCGCTGCTCCCTGCTGGGGGGCTACACGGGGGTCTCCTGCCCTGTGGGCAGTTCCCAGTATGGAGCAGCAGAGCACGGGAGGGACGGGGCAGCCCCATCCCTGGCAGTGGGAGCGGTGGGGACAGGGACAGTGGGGTCAGTGTCCCCCCTTCCCGGGCAGCAGGAACAGTGTCCCCCGGGCAGTGCGGGGTGCCCGGGGCCGAGCGCGGGCTGCTGGCACCATCTAGTGGGGTTTGTGCGGGGACTGGTTGTGCCACCGCCACCCCTGTCCGTGCCCTGTCCCCGGGCACCAGCACGGCCACGGACCCCCCCACTCCAGCGGTCCCTTTGCCCCCAGTCCATTGGTTCTACACACCAGGCTTGGCGGGGTGGGTTTGTGTCTGATCCCCCCGCGGGTGCCCCTGCAGTGCCAGAGGTGACAGAGGGGGGTTTTTGGGGACACAAGGGGCTGCCTGCAGGGCTGGGTCTCCCCCAGCCCGGCTCAGCATCACCCTGCTCACCCCTGGGCCGGCAGCCGTGGGGGTCTGGTGACCCCCCATGGGTGGTCCAAGGGGTCACAGGGGGACACTGGGCTGTGGGGTGGTGGCCGGACCCCACACAGGGTGGGGTCTGGGGTCCAGCAACTGAGAGACCCCCAGCCAGGCTGTGGATCTTCCCCAGCACAGCCCAGACTGGGGGGGTCACACAGAGTGCCCCTGCACTTGCTCTTCAACAACCAGCTGGGTGTTTGCTGCTCAACATCCCTTTAGGAAGTGGGAGTGTGTAAACCATGGGGTGGGAGGCAAAGCTGGTGGCTGGGGCTGCCCTGTAACTCTTTTGGTGCTGGGTAGAGACAGGATGAAGTGTTTCATTAACTCCTTTTGCCTTTTCTTCTTTCCCTTTTTCTTCTCCTTCTCTTTCTCCTTCTCCTCTTCCTTTGTTCCCCCTTTTGTTTTCGAACAGTTCAAAGCACAGCCCTCAGGTGTGGGGCAGTGCTGGGGTGTTGGGAGCCAGGACTCCCCTCAGGCTGCCCACCCCACGGGGAGCTGTCCCATTCAGGTCACCCCACAGCATGAGGGAAGACTCCATCAGCACCAGAAAAGCCTGAGATCTATTTATTTGTGGCTTTTTTAGGCCAGGAGGAAGATTGGGGGAGGCCCAGCTCTGCCCCTCTTAGGTCCTGTTTCTGTAGCCCACCCTGGGCATGAGGGAAAGGGCTGAACCAGACCTGGCTCAAGCCCCAAAACCAGAGTCCCTTCCCTGCTCCTCTTGGCAGCTGCCACGTGCCCCCCAGGGCTGATGGCATGAAATGGGATGAATTAAAAAGGGAAACAATAAGCTGGAAAATTCTGGACATTATTCCCCAGCATCCAAACTCCTCATGCCAGCATGAATTTGCAAAATAAAATAAGTGCTTTCCTCCCCTTCAAAAAAAAAAAAGGCTTTTTTAGAGCCTGAATTGTGCTGGGTGATGGTGACTGGAAAGACAGACAAAACCAGTGGATTTAAGCTGCCCCCACCCTGGGAAGCAGCTTTCCCCAGGGTGCTGTGCTGGCCTTGCACCTTCCCCCGATGTAGGATGGTGCCAGCACACCCTGGGCACTCGTGGCACAGGCAAGGGCTCCACGTGCATCCTGCACTGCCTGCAATGACAGGAGGCTTTTTTCCAGCATCATTTTAACGTGCCTGCCTACACCACGCACAGAATTAGCCAACCCTGCAAGGCAAAGGAGGAGAAAACAGTCCTGGCTGCTCCTGCATGTGCCACTGGACAGTGGGCCAGCACCAGCTCCTGTTCTGCCAGGAGGGATGCCCGGGGAGACTTGGGAATGGCAGTGCAGGACCCTCCACCTTGGGTGGCTGAGAATTTATGGGTGCATTGGCAAGCTGGGGTTGAAAGTGGAAGGACAACACCTGGAGAACAGGGAGCCCTTGGCTTTGCAGGGAGGGCTGGCGAGGGAGGCAGGTGGGGAAAAACTGATGAAATTTCTTCCAGGAATTTTGCTTTGTCTTAAAAGAAAAAAAAACACAAACAAACAAAAAAACAAAAACCAACAAGCAAAGAAAAAACAAACAAAAAAGCCCAAAATAACAGTTCAACCAGATTTAACACCACTCCCAGGGGAGCTGCATGGCAGAGCAGCCCTGGCCCACACCGTTATCACCTGCCCAGCTCAGGTAAGGTCAGAGGCTCAGTTTTGTTTAATTCCCATTTCAGAAGAGGACTGACCAGGCAAAGCAGCTCCCCCATCTCCCAGGGCACAGCCCAGCTGAGCAGCAAAGCCACCTCCTCGCAGGACTCCTTGTCAAGGGCTGTTGCGCTCAATAAGGTCCAGCACAGCAGAAAGCTGCTCCAGTGCAGTTATGTGCTGGCATAAAAATACTGACCACATGTTAAAACTTAAAAGTAGGTCAGGCAGCCATCTGGTCTTGCTGACAGACCTCCAGCGACCATAGTTAAAAAGATTCTCATTTTAGAAACTTCACAGCTTGGGTAAAATTTTGAAGACCGACCATAAACATGTTTCAGCCGCTGCTCAAACTCCAGGGGTTAGAAAAAACACAGTCTGACATCTATTTATTGCCTCCTGTTTTAAAAATAGCTAAAGCTTAGTCTACTTCTGCTAATTAAAAATCCTAATTTCCCGAATGTGATTGTCTCGTCCTCCTGCCCAAGGTGTCAGGTGTCCTATGGCTCACTCACCCCTGGAAATGGAGAGGATCAAACCCCTGCAAGGGCAGCTCTGGAGAGCAGCATGATTATTCCTGAACAAGAGAAAATGAGGCAGGTTCATGGCTTGGATGGCTGTGCCAGCACTGAGAACACCCAGGTTTTGCCAGGGTGGAGGGACGCACTCATCCCTTACTCTGCCACAGAGTCCATGGCAGAGCCCCTGGATAAAGAGTAATAAGCAGGTGGAAAAATTAAATTAAAAAAAAAAATTAATTATTCCACTCCACATTTCAGGTGTCCAGACACATTTCAACCTGCACAGGGCACATGAGAGATATTTACCTGCTCCCTTGCTGCCTCTGCAAGCCTTTTGGCCAAGACATGTAACTCCCTCCCCAAGGGACACTCTGCAGTCAGCCGAGCTGCCCAGGGTGAAGTTCTCTTTCAAACTGTGATAAAAGAGTATAAAGTTGTCATATAACCCATAAAAGCAGCCATTTTACTTTTAGGGCTACCTGAAGACTTCTTCAGCAGTGTTTTATTCCTGCTGTATATTCACAAAGGTCTGAGTGAGGATTTTGTGCTGTGTCAGGGAAGTGCCCAGTAGAAGCCATTTCCTTCTAAACCCACATTCCCTGTACCCTGTGCTGCTCAGGTTTCTACTTTCCAAAACAAACTGTTTTCCTTGAACTTCTCTCCCAGTGGCAGAGCTGAAGAGCCTCCTGCATCCCCCTCAACAGCACTGACTGAACTCAGCACATAAAATAACCTGGAAGCTTTGCAGTAGATAAATGAAATAAAGAGACTGACCCCCTTTTTTTTTTCCAAACAGTTCACATTTATTGATAACGATAAAAAAATCTTTTAAAGACTATCTGTATTTTATTACCAAGAATGAGGTATTATGTATACAAAACATTTACAGAATTTGATATGCAGTTCATGAGGAGAGATAGTGAAGTGCAGTAGGACACTGATAACAGGAAAAGTGCCAACAGAAGAGTTACTGGCTGAGAGAAGGAGGAAGGGCAGTAATATCACACAAAGAAAGACCAGTGTATGGGAAATTAATTAGTCAGACTGCAGTGATCAAGTCATATTGCCACAGCACTTTGCTTAGAGGAAGATTAACTATTATTTTATCTTCCCAGCTGTTTGTGCTGTCATGTGCTTTGAGCTCTAAAAGATGTGTTAAGACCAACAGCAGGAAAAACCCAAAGTGCCACTTTTGAGCCAGCTCAAGTGAAAAACAAAATACAGATCTTCAGACTTGAAAAGGGACTGCAACTCAAAAAGGTCTACAAAGCCAGACACCTCTGGACAGATGTGGAGTGTTGAATGAAGCAGATTCTGTACAGTTGTCAGCAAAATCGCCATCTGAGAGAGAGAGAGAGAGAGACAGACAGAGACAGAGAGAAAGGGGAACACCTTCAGCCCTTACAGCCTGGTAAGTGGAAGTGGAATGGCTGCTGTGCAGACACTGGGTGGGAGTTTGCTTGACAGCAAAGCAGTGGTCTGTCTCACACAACTGCCCACTTTGGCAGTTTAAGTAACAGTCTAACCTCCATCTTCAATTTAGAAGTCCTTAAAACCCTCCAAAATAGACCAGTTTGGGTTCAGTTTAAGGAGACTGGTCGCTCAGCACCTCTAAATGTTACTAAAATACTTTCAGCTCTGCCACATCCCACAGCCAGAACTGGTCTGCAGGACAGGTGCTGTCAGAGGTCAGTAACCAGCCTCTCAGGAGCTCTGCAGTCATAAAAAAGCTTTATTCTGAGTTCAGAACCAGCTTTCCTCAGACCCCCTCAGGGGGTCCAGAACTTCGAGTGAGTTCTGTTTTCTAAGTGCAAGCTCCTCCACCACCTACCCACAGCAGTGCTGCTCCCCAGGACAGAGCCTTCCTAGTAGGGACTGCAGCCAGCACAGCAGCTCCTTGTGCCTGGATGGGCAATTTAGCTCCAAGAGGGTGAGGAAAGACCAAGCAGGGTCTAACTGTGCAAATCCTGCTGCATTTCAGACTCTGCTCCACTGCCAGGCGTAGTTTGTAGTTGCCTGACAGCCCTTTGCTCAGCACTTCAGCCTTTGGAGCCTTTTGCTGTGCGTGGAGAGAAGGCTCAAGGTGCAAGAACACCTGAATGGACTTTACCAAGAGTTCAACTTGGCCTGGGCAGACAGGGACAAAATCCACAGTGGCAGTGGCAAGAGTGAAAAGGGTCCAGAAAATGCTCAGAGCATCTTCTCCTGTGTGCCCCAGAGGGAAGAGCCCTGTGCTCCCTGCCCACACTAAAGCTTGTGCTGCTCAGAAGTGGAGTGCTCTGTTTCTGACAGGAGGCCCGAGGGAGTGAGAAGTGAACAGGAAGGATGTTAAGCCATACCTCCCTTCAGGCTGATTCAGGCAGCCAGCTTAAAGCTCTGCATAAATTCCTGGTAAGAACAGGATCTCAGCAAAATCAATTCACTCGGAATGCACTAGGGAAGCAGAGTGAAACTCCAGCAGGGAGCTGGGAACAAATCCTCACAGCAGCTCTGGATCAGCCCAGCGTGGCACAGTGAGGGAGAGCCTGCTCTCTGCCTCTCTCTCCGCAGTGCTTCAAGCACAAATCCAAGGAGAAGAATGAATTGCTTTAACCCATCAAGACCCAGAGCTCAAATTTCCCTCCCCCCAAAAAATGTGCTCATACAAAAGGTATATTTAGTGTTTACAGCCTGGCCACAGCTCTGTGGGCATGCTTTGAAAAAAATGGACTCACAAAGTCAAGTATCCAGCAACTGCTGTTCTTTGTCTTGGACATCAATAGTGGCAATGGGAGAACAGTTTGCAGCACTGGAGGATCACAGGGGATTTCTTAGGATGGCAAGGAATGTCCTGACAAGAGAATTGCAGTTGATCTCTAATGCACTACAGAGCATTTTTTGGTAGGGTTTTTCTCCTTTTTTTTTTGCTTTCAAACACCTACACAGTTAAAAAAAAAATATTCTTAACTGATGCACTGGTTGTTTTTCCTTTTCAATAAGAGCCCTTGTGTTCAGAGTTAGGATTTGTGCAAGCACACTTGCAAAAATATTTATGGCTGAGTTAGGAAAAAGGGTTAAAGGTAAAGAGACAAGCTGTTGGATCTAACAAAGACCAAAACCACTAAGTGTAAAATTCAAACAGCTACTTTACTATCTATAAAAGGCTTTTGTGGGGTGGGTTTGTTTGTTTTTTTGCACAATTGCCAGTTGAATATGCTGTATTGCAGTCAGCTGCCACAGGCGAGGGTCCAGCCATCACATCCATTTGCTTTTCAGCTGTTGTGGCACTACCTGGAAATCATGGAGCTGGAATGGGACTGGCTAGAGGAGGTGGTGGCAGCACTGAGCTGGGAGAATCCACTGTGGCTTGATTCAAGGCTGGTCATAGATCCCCTGCAATCAAAAAGGAAGTGGTTTTAAGCCTCAGAACATGCAAAGATTTTGATTTCTGCTCTGTGTCTATATTGCATTTGTTTGCACGCTGAATAAAAAGCAAGTAATAGTTTTGGTGCAGACACTCAAAAGCTTTTCTGCCTCAACACATGAAACAATGAGAACACTGCACACCTTACAAAAACCAGATGCTGTTCAAAGAGACTGAGAAATATTTTCAGTCAAGTTCATCAACTGGCAGGTGACAGAACTGACTCAGTTCCATTCTGAATTGTACCCATTCCTACCTGCCAAGCCCAACGACTCACACAAGGCTTTCAAAGCAGAGCAAAGTGACCAGTGATGATTACACCAAGATAACTGATTAACCCCTTTTATACATTAGCTGCCCTCAGTGCCAGTACTGGTTGACTTCTTTTTTTAAGGCCCTCACAATTTACTTATATTTAAGTGAACTTGACACTGGCTTGATCATCTAAGTATCAGAAAGGCTTGACACTGGCTGACCCTGGCCAGACATACCTGAAATCTTCAGATCCTATCACTTCTGTATAGTACATCACTTTACATTTGTGAGAGGACACCTGTAGAGATGCCAATACATCATCCACACGAGGCAGGTTGGTTGTAGCACAGGCAGGCATGTTGTGGAACTTCCACTGCAGAATATAGAAGCCAGGCCACCTGGTCACGTGGGAGCCCTGGAGACAGACAAAGCAAAAATTAAGAGTTAACTTCGTTAATAAAGACTTGAAAAATCTGAAATTCCTTTTCCAAGTCTGGAAAAAGTACCCACATGCCCGTTATTTTTTCCCCCAGTGCCAAAATTTCAGCTCCTCAGCCAACAGGCTGTGGTGGGTGACTCCCCACAGAAGGTGCTTATCAAAGCTGGGGCAGAAAACACCAACAAACGGCTCCTCTGGCTTTTTTGAGAGTGTCCAGGGGTTACTGAAAGGACAAAGTTCTGGTTTAAAACAATATCCACTTTTTCTATTTGTTTTCACTAACAGCTGTCCTTTGAGACAGCGAAAAGGGCACTCAAGGCTCCTGCCTCACGGAGAGTGCAGTGCAAGAGGTCACTGCCCGTATTTCCAGTTTAACACTTCCAACCACGTGACTTAAGGAGCTCCTTTTTCACAGGCTGCCTGACTCAAGTCAAAAGGAACAGCAATGGCAGGCTGTGACTGTAAATATGCTCCACAGAAGATCAAACTTGGTAATTAAAAGACAGGTTGAAAATGGCATAAAAAAAAGGTTCAGAAACTTTGGCCACGGGGAGCTCCTTACAGTGGTTGTTAGAGGGACAATCACACAGAAGCTCAGTCTTAATTTCCAGTCTTCTCTTATTACTGAGGGAAGGCACTATGATATTATTCAAACACAGACTGTTTGTCTCAGAAAATAAATAGCCAGAATTACAGCACAATTCGTGTTTTGTACTTTCTGGATGTGCACTCCATTCTAGGTGGCTTCTCTATATTCCCTGCTGATCAACCTCAGTCCCTGTTGGATTGATGCAACCTCCCTTCCCAGCAGATCCCACGTAAAGCCAATCCCTGCTCCCTGCAGCATCCAGCCTGGAACACGAGCTGAAATGCTGGCCAAAAGCGAGCAGACAGCCCGGAACTGAATCACCACTCCGTCATCAGCGACTGTGAGTGAGAACAGGCACTTTTGAGGCCGGGCTCCATCTGCTCCCACTCGAGGATCTGGTGCCTCACCTGCACACTCTCCCCTTCCTTGCAGATCAGGGGAGACTCCACCATGCTGTAGTCACGCCCCAACTGCCAGACTTTGTCTATCAGCTGGACGTTGTTCCCACCAGGAGATGTAATGCTGTGGGCTCCCAGAGAGTCCTTCTTTGGGGGTTGGGGGCCCTTTTGGAATGGAAGATGTTAAAAACGATGTCGCCCTTGCACACGTCAAAATCCCACGTGATCACAGACGAGGCGTCCACGATCTGGATGAGAACCTGGGACAGGAAAAGTCTATTAGACAACAGTAATTTGCTCAGTAAAGCCAAACTCCTAACAGAAAAAAAAAAAAATACAAAGGACAGAGCTTTTTGTTGCGGGCTTAGTTTCCACTGTTAAAAAGTCTCAGCTTTTTAACAGTTGAAAAAAGGCATTGAGATACAAATTCCCTCCTGCTGGGGTGTCTTTATTTTAACACACCACTTTAAGAAGCTCTCAAGCAGCTTCTGAGATTATTGTTTGCTTTGCTTAGAAGAAAAGGGCTTTGAACAGAATGAAAACCAGTGATATTCTCTAAATGGCAACAAGATGACACCAGGAATAGTCATAACCTTCAGCAACTAAAGCATCATTATGCAGCACAACTACAGAAGAGCAAGGTGGAAGCACAGCAACTAAATAACTGAGCTCTAAACCATCCTCAGTCCACCAGAGAGAGTCCAGAGCAGCAGCTGAGATGAAAGCAAAGGTCAGGCTGCAGCCCTACCTCATGTGGAGCTCCTTTGAAGACACTTGCAGACTGGTAGATTGTTTCAGTCCAAAGCTTTATGTCTTCATTTTCCAACTCTTCTGCTGTCCGGTAGAGGGACTTGGGAACCAGCCCACCCTCTGGTACTTCACACTGAAAACAAACAGCCACAAAAATTATCTCCTGTGACCACTCCCTCCCTGTCACGCTCTCTGCCTGCCACCTCAGAAACAAAACCTCACATTCAGCAGCACTCCAAAGAACGAGATGTAAACAGTCTGAAAGTAATTTTATAGCTTGTACATTATACATACATAAATTCTTCTACAATGACCTGGCTTAGGTGTTTGCAGAACTGCACAGCAGAGGAAGAGATCTTGCCAAACACAACAGCCAGCACCACGGAAACAGGCTGTGCAAATGCTGCAGTTATCACCCAGACCACCTTACACTTCAGAACCCTGAGGAAAGTGGCAATAATGACTCAGTCTAAAAAACAGAGCATACAGAGACCTGAAAGAACTGGGATAGCTAAATTTAAGGATGGATATGGGGAGATGCAGTATGTTTCTGAGCAGGTAAAAGGATATTGCAGCCAGCAAGGTAACAGTTCTGAAGTTACAGCTGTCTGACAGCCCACTGGAAGTGATTACACAACTTCCCTAAGCAACTTTCTTTTTTAAGAAGCCTCTAGCAATGGAGTCAGACAACTATTTGATGAGGAACAGGTTCCACAGAAGTGTCTGGGGCAGCGGAAGTGTTTGGTAACTGAATTACAACAGAGAAGTGAAAGGTTCTCAAGAAAGTCACTTTTGTTCAAATACCCAGAAGTAAAGAAGAAGAGAGAGATTCTGCCACTGCCTGTAACTGGCAGGAAGTATTGTAGCAATTTTCTTTCTGGTAACATTCATTTTTGCTTACTTAAGCAGTGGATTTTGCCAGCTTCCAGCTCCAAGTTAGATAACACTGAAAGTTACTGCTGCAGCAAAAAGCAGCCCACTGAAGATAAACACATGCTCTACTCCAACACATCTAACTGTACTTCATTATCATCTGAGACTGTATTTGAACAGACATAGATGAATTTTCAAGAATGGTATAGAAATTAATCTAGAAAGTGTACAGGGGCTTAAAACACAAGCCTGAGATTCTATTTTAACACAGCTGAGTTCAGACAAAAAAAAAAATAACCTAAGTGTCACTATGATGGAGGTTCCAGAAAAAAATAATCCACCAGTGAGCCTGTGTTGTCAAAAACATTAAAGGGAAAACAGACCTGACAGTATCATCGAGATGTTACAGTGCCAGATTCAATTGATACCCAGAGCCTAGGCAGGAAACAGCTATTAAAGCATGTGGCAAGGGACTGAGAAATTACAGTATCCTGCAGTAAAACAATTTTTCTGCTTTGCTGGGGGTCAATGCACACCATTGTGTGAGGAGACAGAGACGTTTGCTGAGCCCTGTTAGTAGATGTGCCTCACGTTTCCTTGGGCTCCTTATGGTATCAGTTCTTTCAGGTCACACAGGCTCTTTTGATCAGCTGATGGTGACAGCTCTTGCTCAGAGCTGTGTAACCTTGTCTGCTTGAACTTGTCAGGTAACAGACTATGGCTTTGAACTGTGCTTGGCTATTTTGATAAGCTATTTGATACTCACTGTAGAGCAGCATTGTACTTCTCTTTTTGAAGTGGATCCACAAAACACCACTAAGCCTGGAGTCCAACATCATAGCCCCCATCTCCAAACTACACTAGGAATCCCTCTGTGCTTAGAAGTTTCTTTGCTTAGAGGAGTAGAAAAATAATAAAAAAAACCACCACAGATAAGCTGCTGAATATGCAGTAGTTTATATTCATACCATGCACTCTCCACCAAGGAAATCAGGGATAATTTCTTTATCGATGTAATCCAACAGTCCCCCAGGACCCTGGTAGTCATTTCCAGCATAAATAAGGAATTTCTTTCTAGTGTTGTCATCAATGAATGGACTAACCTGCAAACAAAGAAGAACAGAATAGATCAGGCTCTCCCATTTTTCTCTAGTCAGTTTTGAAGGAGTCAGTTTGTCACCATCCTGGTTGCACAAAGTTCACACCACAAAGCAGCCAAATGAACCAACTACGTGAGCAAGTTCTTAGGTAGTGTTTTTTAATCCGCTGCAGGAATCCTATAAAAGACATGTTTCCAAATGGCAACACTTCCTGCTCATAAAACCTGATCTGTAAAATGCTTTTACAAACAACAAAGTGTAGCAATGTACCAAGAGAGCTGAGTAATACCTTGAATTACAAACATACCAGTGTCCAGAGAACTGGGAATACTCGAGGTGCTCTTAGGATAAGAAGACGACCCAAAGTTTCAGGGTAATTGGCTTCAACCACCTCAATGATTCTCAGCAAGGCCTTGACACCAGGTCTCCATAAATGCCTCATGTTCAAGCCTTCCAGATCTACTAGACAGGTCCAGGAGCTGAATTTGAGAAAGACAAAGAAAACACAGAAAAATCTCAATAGCATCAAAATTCTCCTTTCTTATGCAAGTGCCCAACACACTGAAATGTGTGGAGCCCACTGCATGTTTTGGGTTCTTCTGTTTCACCTCCCTGCTTTGTGGCACCTGTAGACACCCCAGTTTAAGGTCTGCCTTAAGAGCAGGCAATGATCACTTTGACATCATGCAGATTCCCCCACAGATATTTCAGACTCAAGGCAAAGGTTCATATGAAGCCAAAAAAAAAAAAAAATCCTGTCAACAGCCAGCCCAAACATTGACCCAGTGCTTTTACAGGGAGATTAATTAAGTGGCCACGCTGCTGCCATGAAGCAATTTCACATTCACAGGGCAGATTTCCTACTAACACACTGCAGCAGTGGTGCCAATACATGTCAAAGCTAATTCTGTTGTCAGATCCCAGGGAGGGAAGCTTCTTCTACAGGGAGAGATATGTTCTTAATACTAATCCTGAGCATCAGCATGTGTTTCAGTTACTTTCCAAGTTCAGGTCTCTCACCCTGGGCAGGAATTCAAGATTTACAGCTGTGCTGCACCAGCCAGCAGCCATTACATTATGCATAAGGCATCTATGAAACACCAAACCCTTCTTTGTTTCACTTTAAATGTTTAATATGCAGCCCTTTAGGATTACGGCTACAAACGAACGTCCAGGAGGCAGCACAATTTCAGTAACACACATGAAACCTATCCCTGGGACCTGACCTCCCACTGGCAGCCAGGACAGCAAGTTCTGTACCAGGGGAAAGATAAGCAGACACACCACACATCCCTGGACCTTACAGATTAAGGGAAGGAGGCAGAAATTGAAGAGAGGCCAAGAAACACGGGATCTTTTTAGGGATGGTCCTGCATTCGTTCCACACCCATTTTCCAGTTAACAATTTCATAAGTGGCCCCTACAGTGACTGAAGGATGGGAGAGCAAACAATTTGTGACTGAATTTCACCTGAAGTCATGCCAATACCAGGAAAACTAGACCCCAGGTTTCACAGGAAGCCTCATGACCTCACCTTGGATCAAGAGCTGAGAAGCCACTTAAAAAAAAATGAAGAGTGCAAACAAGAACTGAGTGTAATGAGCCTTGGTATGGACCATGGGTGAAGAAGTGACATGAAAGCAACACCTGGAATCCATGGTATTATCATGGCCTGACTTTTTGTTAGCCTGTACCGATGCCTGTCTGTAAAAATCCCTCCTAAAGAGAAATGGGAGTTAGGCTGCACTGCTTTGCAGAGATCCAACAGCAGAAGAGAGAAGCACAGCAGCCCCAAGTAGAGTGTGAGACTGAGACTGCTGGGGCACGTGTGCTTCCCTCAGGCTGCCCCAGGCACATTCCCTCTATCACCAACTGAGGAGCTAACTGTGCCTGTGCTTGTGCCTGCACGTGAGACACAGCCCACCCTTGGCTTGTTCCACTGCCTGACATTCCCCAAAGGCACACCATGAAAGCAGGTAATTCCCAAAGAGCTGATCAACTTGTTATTTTACCTTATTGGCCTGCCAAATACTTTTGTATTCTCCTCACATCGCCTCAGTCCTTCTTCGTTTATTGAAAGAACCTGTGCAAGAAAGTGTGTGGTTTAGAGAAGTCTCAAACTCAGTAGGTGGGATAAAGAAAAATATGTTTATATCCAAAGACTAATTAAAACTACAAGATCAAACCAGCATAAACTTTTCCCCCCCCCAAAGAATGAACTAGAAATCTCTACAATTACCCCTAATTACCCAGAAATTAAAGCCCCTTTTGAAATCACAGAAAAGTAAACCTCGAAACAGAACTAGGGCAAACAAAATTTACTGTCTGCCTGGAAATGCCACTGGAAGAGAAAAACAAAAATCCAGTCCCTGCTTGTAACAGTTGCTATGGTTGTGACTGTCATTATTAGGAGTCAAAAAAAGTTAGTGCAAGCCTGGAATTCTGCCAGCTTTCTGCCTGGAAACTGAAGCGATCCACAGTAACAGCCTGAGTGATGCCTTTAGAGAAGGTAGAACTGCAGGCAAGCGCTTTTTCTTAGAATTCTTCTTATCCTTGGAGTACAGGCTTGACAAAATCTGTGGCGTTTTCTCTTCTGTGCAAATGCAGAGCCTTAAAGTTTGAAGCCCTGCACAAGTGCAGAAGAATCCGTGAAAATGCCAATCAGTAACTCCAGGAGCTTTCAGTTTGCAGTAGGAAAGAAAGGAGAAGGAACAGCCACCAGGGGCTTTCAGATGTTTTCAAACCAAAAACACACGGCAAGAGAGTACATCGAAATACCCAGGGCGATGAATGCTCTGGCAGAGGAAATTTCTAAATGAAAATAACACACTGTTAGCAACCTGCAGGCCCCAGGAATACTCACGTATCGAAGCAGGGCCTCTTCCCCCAGAGCTCGCACTAAACCTTTGGTGTCCATCTGGCCCAACCTCAGCACGTACAGCGGGCGACCATCTGCACAAAGAGACCAAACCACCACAGTGACCCTCACAGCAAGACACGGTTTGAGTGAGCTAGTTTCATGCTAAAACTTCAAACAGAAACAAACCAGAATCAGTTAAAACTCCCCTGGAAGAGGAGTAACCTGGAGCAGGCGGCAACATAAACTCGACCCTGTGCAACTACACCGACAGATTATCTGTAAATGAGCTGCAAGACTCGAATCGAGGAGGTTAAAGATTTTCCGATGCAAAAGTTTGCAAAGACATCCTGATGAAAAAATAGCTCCCTGACCTTCAAGGAGAGTTCAAAGGATTTCAAGTGCCTCGGTCTACCCAAGATCTTGGTACACACAATTAACGACACAGGACTATTATTAGGTTCCAGGACACGCTAATGAACTCAAGTGCTTCCTGTAACTCTAAGTGGAGGCTGTAAGGCTTCTATCACACATGATGCAATACTGCTCTGGAGAGAACAGCAACCCTTCTAGAACAGTAGCTACGCTGAGCTCTGGGAATTAATGAAACAAAGTGTTAACCCAGAGCTTTGCCTCCTGCAGTGTGTGCTGGAGCCACGCTCCGAGCTCTGTCACTCTGCGGAACTGGCACACAGCCTCGCTTATGCAGGTTAAGCCTGGTGAGAACAGGCTCTGCTCCTGAGATCAGCTCAGCTGGACCCTCTGCATTAGAGCCCTGACCTTCCACAGTCATCTGGCTGCACACTTGGGCAGCCTGGCACTGGCAGGATGCTAAAGGCATTAAGCTAAATAACTGTGTTGGCTGAATTTGAGAATCAAAGCTCGCACTTCTGGCACTTCCTAAGAGGAGCTAGTTGTCCAAAACGGCTCCTAGCCTCCTCTCAAAGCTGTGATGCACTTTTCAAGCTTTGCTTCATCTATTCTAATACACAGGTTAAATAACCAGCAACTTATAAAAATGAATATGCTAGAACACAGAAAGAAGAAAAAAAGAAAGCTTTCTACACAAAAGTCTCCTTCAAGTCCTGTTGTCTGTGCAACACACTGCAAGAGGGTATCAAATTATCATCAAGTCTTCTGGGACACGAGGAAAGAAACTGCTGAGATACACTATTAAAAAAAAAAACCAACAACCAACCAAAACTGCAGAGTCAAGGCAAGTTATTTATCTGGCAAAGACACCACCCCCATGCAAGTTCACAGTATTTTGTGTTTTATCAGGTGGATTAAAAGAAAATGTTATTTTAACATTAGCACATACTTATCTTGGAACGTACTGTTTAGCTTTTGAAACACTAAACAAAAACTGCTATTAAGTTTCATAGCAGGTCTCCCTCCCTCCCTCCCTCGTGGACAGACATGCACATCCAAACCCAACCTAACAGCTTAGTAACCCTGGTCCACCCAAAATGACACATGAAGGACAGTCTCAGCTGACAGTGCTGTATTATTACTGTGCATTTTATATCCCATTAGAGCTCTGTGATTTTAAAAAGACATTAGATTGAAGCATTCCTGTCAAAATAAAAGCCACTCAGATGTATAGAAAACTGCGCTAATTGCAAGCCAAAATAATAACTTTTTTTCTTTAGCTCTAATAGCTCCTTCCAGACAACATGCTTCATAATCACTCTGCTTTTGCTTTAGCACTGAAAGCCATAAGCACTCAGCCTGCTTAAGTTTGGCACGTTCAGCATATGTAGGAGGAAAGGAGCAATACTAGAAAAGAGGGTTTAAAAAAAGAACCTACCACTGTAAAATTTTAAATTACAGAGAATTGCTCAGTTCTGAAACTGCGTTTCCATTATTGACAAAGCCATGCTCTACTTGTGGGCACGCTGCAGGAGAGATCAAAGGAGCTGGAGGGGAAGGGAGGGGGCACGAAGTTCACCACAAGACTGAAGAACTTCTCAGAAGAACATTAAACAAGCCTTTGATGCATTCTGTACCTCTCAGCTCGTTGGCAGGACCCAGTTTATGTGCTATTGACAGAGGAAGTCTTTGCAAAGTAAGGACAAGGAACTGGGTGAAAGGGAGGACTTATTCCCTACAATCTTTACAAGCACATTCTCATTTTCCACTTTCTCAGTTTGAGGTCTGTCAAACCCAAAGCAGCAGGGGAGAGCCAAGCTCTGATTAAACCTCTGCTGCGTCCTCCCTGTCTCCTGGCCACTACAGCTTGACAGCATCCTGTCCTGTTCCATACACCTGCCTGTAACAGGAAGAGCCAAGCAGAAACAATGGTGCCTGGTGGGAAAAGACTCAATCAGAGCACAGATCGCTCACAGTGAGACATCATTTCCTTATCTAAAGAGCCCAGCTTGCCTCGAGCCACAAATTCCAGCATGTTTCATTCCTATGCATGTATTAGCAACAAGATCAGTCCACGATAAAGCAGAGGGACAGGGGAGTGTGTCAGGCACAGTCATCTGTGCTGCAAAGATCTGGCCGTGGCTCACCATGCAAAGGGAATTCAGCCAAAGCTCCTTCTCTTCTTAAATAAACCTGGCTCTATTTGATGTTTTTGCAACATTCCACTTCTCCTCATTAAGCTGATTGTAACGCCAAATAAATATTCATTTATGCCATCAGCAAACTTAAACAACATCGGAAATAAATTGATTACAAAGATATACTTATTTGCAAACATCTTTTAATCACTGAAAGAGCACACTCAGCATTTGCCTAACACCCTTTTAAGCATCTCAGAGTGCTACAGAAGCACAATTAATCGCTTTTTTTTAAGCTCCTGGCAAAGCAGACTTAAATACGTCAGTATTAGTCAGAAAGGCTATGATCTTGGAGCCTGCCTCCACAGCTCCTGGGAGCTGGCAACATCACTGCAACAGGTTGCCCAAAGAAGCTGTGGAAGTGTTCAAGGTCAGGGATGTTGGACAGGGCTCTGAGCAATCTCTGGTCTAGTGGAAGTTGCCCATGCACATGGCAGAGGGGTGGAACAACATTATTTTAAGGTCCCTTCCAACCTAAACCCTTCTGTGATTCTATGAATTTAGGTGTCTCTATTACATAACAACTGAGAAGTTCTAACCATCTTCCCAGTCACCTCTATTTAACCAGAGGGACAACTATCACCTCTGATTCAGAACACAGAAAGGCTGTGCAATATCCATACCTTTGTCATGGTGATGCCAGCCTCCTGCATAGTAATCCTGGAGTACCTGTGGAGGGTTCCAGGTGTCCAGAATATAGTCCACCTGGTGCTGCTTACGCCACGTCAGCGACTGGCAAAGGATCTCTCTTGCTTTATCGATGTTGAAGTCTCGGGCACGCAGGAATCTTAAAATGTGCTCATCCTTTGGGATCTGTCAAAAAAAACCAAACAAACCCAGTTTTGTACCTAAGATTTGGAACAAGAACAGAAGAACAAACAACAGAAGCTGAAAAATGTGCAGCCCTGCACCAATGCAGGAGGAGGGTGTGTAACACTGGAAGCTACTCAAGGAAATCAGCCTTTGTTTGAAACAAAGTCAGGGACTGCAGGTACCTTCATAAAGGAGATAAAAATTTCATGAACTCTAATGTAATCATTTCCACCTGTATGACCATACCAAGTTAGTCCAATTTAAATAAATCAGGACAGGACACAGACTGTATTTCATTGTTAAGTAAGAGGAAGCTGAGAGACACATGCAAATCACAAGCTACTGGAAAAAACCCAGCCTTGCTATCAGTGATTTAACTGGCCCCATTGCTTCCCTTTCAGTATTTGAGACTGTGATGTTTGGCCAAAGCAAACAAATACAAAAATAAGGTTATTGTAGCAACCAGGAAGACTTAAAAAACTGCTGATATTGCCCTTGTGATAGCCTAACTGACATTCTGAGAGGCTTTCACGCTAATTATTTAAGCCCCTCAACCAGCAAAGTCAGCTGGGCAGTAACATCGAACTCCTTCTGTTACCACTGTTTTAATTTAGGTTTTGATCATGGAGGGTCACTTAACATGAACAATCAAGCACGGGAGGGGGAAGGGTGTGGCAAGATGTTTCATCAGGCCCACTCTGTCCATCACACACCCTGAGCCACGAGAGATCACCAGCCACTTACTTTGCCTTTGTGCGTCTCCTGCAGCCACTGCCTCAGCCGGATGAGGCAGCTCTCCTGCATCGGGGTCAGGTCCCCCAGGTACCTCTTGATGTAGTCAGCGTCTAGTTTGTCTAAAGAGAGATGTGCAGGGGATTAGAGTGGTCCTGGGCTGACCCAGGCAAAGCAGCAGGTGATGTGACATGCTGCTGTCTCAGGCAGAGAAGCGGCCGCTGTGCTCTGCGCAGTCAGAATTGATTAAAGATTCTTTGAATCAATGGAAAGATGAGCGAGGCAACACACACAGTCACCTTAATCAAGAAGATAAATCCCCCTTCTGCAGCTAAGGAAGGAGCAAAAGGAGACATTTTCAAAAGCACTTTGCCAGTGTATTCAGATTCATCATTCCAGAGCACCATAGGGATTGATGCTTCTAGAAATACTGCGAGAAGCTTTGATCTCCCACTGCAAGAATTTTCCCAAATTCCCTTATTAACAGGGGGAAGGAAGATACAGCAGAAGACTGTGTCCAGGGAAGCTTCAGCTGTTGTTTCCTACCCATTACTCCTACAGTTTAACCCAACCCTGAATTTCAGGGCAAGAAGCAGGCTGTTCGTTTGCCACCCAATGAACAGCGAAGAGTTTTTCTGCTCGTACCTGATCTCCATTTACTAGATCAGCCCATAACAGCTCCCTGAGCTACCCCACATGTCACTGCTTGGCAAGCCTGCACTTTAGCACTGCATGCCACCAAACAAAGAGCCAACATGGAGCTTTCCAGCTGCCCACCAGAAGCTGCACAGTGCTGAGAGGCCCTACAGTACCAAGAACCCCAGTCAAACACCTCAGACCACCATTACCATCTGGTGTTCCTGCAGTGGGCTCCGAGGGGCTGCTGGAGGTGTTGAGGATCTCCTTGTTGTTCAAGCCCTCCTTTGTGGCAGACTCTGGTATATTAATAGCAGGTGAAACTGGTCTCCTTGTGTGGGATGTGCTGCTCTCTGATTTACATGTGACAGGAGGAGTCCAGCGAGGAACAAAAGTTATTCCTTCTTCCTCCAGCTGCTTCAGGTAGTATTCTATTATTTCTTTTCCCTTCAAAAAAGAAAATTTACTTCAGCTACTAAAAAAACACCCACCTAAGACAAAGAAAGGGTTGGGCTGAACACCTATTAAGTGGCCAGATCTCTGTAAAGATTCCATTTGAAACACAGCCCTACACAGACACTGCCCTGGGCTAAAGAGGAAGCAGCCCAGCTTTCTGAGCAGAGCAGCCTGTTACTTAGCAGCAGCCTCGTTGTCTTTTGGTAACTCAGAGCCAGGCACCTCCTTCCCAACTGCAGGCTCACCTTTTTAATATTGCTGGTGTATTGCTTCATGGCAATCTTTTCCACTGTGCTTTCAAAACCAAAAAAAGACTTGATATCCAGACTTGCTGACTGCTCAAAACAGGTCCAGTCTTCATTGTCAGGATGAACCTGCAAGTTAAAAGATCATCCAGCTCAGTTATCCATTTAGGGTTTGTTTAATCTTCACACTGTTTGAAATGTTCTCGTTTTACCGGTTCACACAGTCAAAAAAAAACATTCAGGAGGAATTTGCAGTGTCTTCCTTCACTTGCAAAACACAGTTGGGAAGAGGTAACACTAAAGGACAAAAATCTGAGGAGTCCTCCTATGGTCCTATGGCTTTTTTTTTTTAAGTGAACAAGAAAGAGGAGGGTGGAGAAACACTAGTGCACCGGCCAAGAGCCAGAGGACTGGCACATTTACACACTGTCTCATTCTAGGTAAGGGCTGGGACTGCAGTGTTATCTGTGCAACAGGGTAAAAACCTCCACAGCAAACTTCCTGCTGGGACTGACAGCCCAGGGCCAGCTCAGCCAGGCTGAGCCTTGCACCAAGGGCAGTGGAAGCACCTCCAAGCACCGTTGTCCAGAGGTGTTCCCAGCAGACACCCTGCAATAGATGTCTCCTCGTTGACCTACCAGGTACCTCAGTATTTCATAGAATGAAAACTATTTTAGTTTTTTATCCCCATGATTAGGCCACAGAAAGCTGCATGCTTCTCATACAGCTGAATATTCTGTCTTAGAGCACTCCCACCTCTCCTCTCAGCTCACCTCGTGGTTTGCTGAGATCATCCTGGAACGGACACGTTGTTACTTACAGCTGGACTTGATCTTAAAGGTTTTTTCCAACCTAAATTCTATGACTGATACTGATATTTTTATGAAAAGCTGTTTTCTAAATTCTCTTCAGTTCAAAAACAGACTTGTTTGAGCCATTTCAGGGCTGGGCTCTGAATCTGTCCTTACACAAACGCTGGATTTCTGAGCATGCAACTGTCCTGATGCCTTAGGGTTCCCTTCCCCCTCAAAGCATGCTAAAATTGGCTTGGAACACTATCAACACTTTATAAGGAGACAACTACAGAAAAAAAATACCTTCCCTTCTTTTGCTTCTTCTGCTTTAGGAAACAGGAGATACAAGAATAGCTTGTACAGACTAAGTACAAATAATAATAACATCATGTAAGAATCTTCCTGTATTTTCGTAAATTCAATTATCAATTACCTTTAGTAAGAACGAACTTCTAGAAACAATTTATTCTTCCATTAAAAATCTGGTTTTGTATTTACCTTGTAATTTCTTAATTGAGTAGAGCCAGAGCAAGAAGTGTTGTGTTCTGTACACATTTACCACATGCACTTTTCTGTACAGCATTTCCCCTGTTTAAACAGAGCTTTCACAGCAAAACTGCAAGGAAAAGGTGTTTTTAAACTTGCCTTGGAAATAATGGCAGAAATAAAAATAAATAAAAAATCAGATAAAAGCGTCAAGTGGGTCTGACATCCAATGATCTTTTAACCACAGGTCTGTACACAACAGAAAATGTTATGACCTGTACATAAAGGGAATGCCATAATAGAGATAAATTAGTTACATTTGTTAGCTTTGATCTGACCTTTAACATCAATTTGAAGTTCTATTGCTGCAGCATGTGCTTTAAGTGCCTATGGGCATAGGCTAAGCTATTCAGGAATAAAGCATGACCAGAGCAGAGCAGTAGGTATGCCACCAGACTCCTCTGGATCAGGAAACATTTGCTCTGAAGACCAAGAACAATGAAAAAAAATAGGTTAATACATAACTGACTCAATGAACTTCTGCCTGAGCCGAGCAGAAGGCAAACAAGCTCTGCTGAACTTTCCTTTTCAGTTCTGTCAGGGTGTCATCAGCCTCACCAAGTCCCACACTGCTGTTACAGACCACAGATTTGCCTAAACAGAGCTGTCAAACACAGCAAATTGTGTTGTGTTCTGCTCTGAGAAGATGCTCAAGCAAGAGGGTGCCAAACGTGTCTCAGTTCTTCAAGCAAGCGTGTCACATTTAACTCTGACAACAATTATCACTCATGGCAGTGTGCTGGTTATTTTTTCTTGCAAGGCAAAAGCCAAGAACAACCCAACTTCTGTTTGTGAGTCCTGAAATCTGATCTAGCTCCATCTGTGGCACCACCAAGAGCCTGTTACTCACTGTGTAAGAGCAGTGCTCGTTAATGATGACTCTATTAGAGAAGGTTTCATTGTAGGCTTCTATATGCAAAGTCCTCTCTCGTCTGTTCAAAGAGTTCTTCTGGACAAAGTAGACATAATCCACTCCTGCAATCTGAGGATGAGAAGGTAGACAGTGTTAAGATACCAGTTATCCATGTGAAAGGATTCATCCAGAAGTACAAACTGGGTACTGAAAAGCTCATCACCTTTTTCAGGAGCCGCGGTGCATCGATGTCCAGCTTACAGCGCCGCTCAATCACGTGGATGGCCTCATCCTCGCTCTTGTACTCGCTTACAGTGTCACTGGCTACAAACATAGGGATCAGAGGACACGTAGGAAACCTTCTCTCATATGCCTACGCAGATGGAAAGAGAAGAAAACAAACGACCATCACAATTCATCCCCGGGGGTGTGCGCAGAATTCCTTCACTGATGTCACCAGCATTTGGAGCCTCAGTGTCCTTCAGAGCTTCTGTGGAAGGGGCTGAGCTTTACTGAGCCCACATTCCAGCTGAGAGTCACAGTGTATTCCAAGCAATGCATTTATTAATACACTCCTTTCCAGTAAAGCGTTTTTTAAAACACACAAAATACCTCATTTCTCCCCTCCCTCTGAAAAAGGAAGTTGTTCATTCTGTGCAGCAACAACCCTCCTGTCAGCAGTAACAGGAAAATAAGACCCTCTAGTTCTAAAATACCACAGCACAAAACAATCATATGTAGGATTAAAAAAAAAACCCCACATGCTAATTACCGGTGTTTTACCAAGCTGTCCAGGGGGATTTTCTTACAGCTCCCAAAGGTCTAATAAAAACATTTCAAAAGCTATTTCTTAAGCTAATAGAGCTCTCAAGCTCCCTATGCACAGTGTTCATAACGATTTCACTGCAGTTTATCAGCTCACAGTTTTGTCCAACAACAGTCAGTCAGTCTTTGCAATACAATGAGGCCCTTTCATACTTCTGAAAATGTAAAGCTTTTGCAATAATGCAGAGCCAGCAACAGCTTTGATTCTGGTGAAAGAATAAAGCCATTTAAATAAGTTATCTCCTAAATACTTGACACACAGACAGAAAACGGCATTAAATCAGACACACTCAGACAGGATAGTGACGAATCTGGGATCAGTAAAACAGGTAAGAGGAAAACGGATGATATCCCCATTAGTAAACTCGTTGAATTTTAGTTTTAGAACCTCTGTGGCTATAGAGAACAACACAACTGTTATTTTTTTCCTTTTCTTTCACAGTCACTACTATAGCTCTGCTTCTCTTTGGCTTTTTTGTTAAGTAACTAATTCTTTAGCCTGCTTTCCACATCCTGAATTACTTCGTTTTTGCTGTTATCAGAACCTCATTGGCTTTGGTGAATAGGATTTTGCAAGGTGTCCCAGTGCAGAAGAAAGATTAAATGAAGTAAATCTGAGAGGACATCATGAAACAACTCTTTAAAAGAGCTAAAATATCCACCCTTTTAGATGATTTTAACTGCTCTGAATACAGCTGGGCTGCAGCACCAACAGGGAGAGGGTGTGGAACAAAATAAGCAGCAGCTGCACAAAGTATGCAATGGTGGGCCTGGAGGAGAAAAGGTCTCTTAATTCTCCCTTTAGAACAATTAAAATACTTCAGTTTATTACCAGTGCTCAAACCTAGTTTGAAGGCAGTGTTACTATGGTGACAGCGGGGCAAGGCACTAAAACAGTGCCGGCTTTTTTCCCTCGTGCATATTTTTAATCCATTTTTGCAGCATGACTGTCCCGAGTTCATAAAGCTCCTCTGTCAGGCCCCAGAAGCACAACCAGGGCAGGGGGGACACGCGGTCCCTTCTTCAGACTTCATCTGTGCACAGCTGGTTTTGTTTAAGCGAAGAGCAGCAATAATTTCTGGGCTCAGGGATGTGCGCACAATAGAAGTGACAGAGCGTTAGTGGGGGAAAAAAAACCTCTCACAGCTCCAGCACAAAGGGAGGATGGCTCCTATTAACATGGTATAAAAAGTTTCTTCCTTCTTTGGTCCTATTAGCATGGCAAAGAAGTTTCTTATTTCTTTTATAAGGCTCTTGTTCTGGACAGAAGGCTGCACATTGTAGTACCTCAGCCCTCTCACTGAACAAGTCTCAGCATTCTGTCTAAATGAATTCCTATTTTCACTGCAACGACTGCAGTTAAATGTTGTCCTAGGTCAGAAAGAGAAAAGATTTCCAGAAGAAACAAAACTGAGAAGTATTTCTGGGTTTCAGGTTGCTTCATTTAATACTTTTGTTTTATCTGAGGACCTCATGTTACAACGATTTTTTTATAGACAGGAGAGGAGGGGCAGTACATATCTAACGTTTTCCTCACTATTTTCAAAGTATTTTTTACATTTGGATGGCAGTGAATTTTCCCATCTGAACAGCCTCCTCTATGCCAAGCCTTTTTGCAAGTCTCCTTCATTGCACATATTGATGTTTTTCCCACCTCAGTTCTCAAAACACTTCTCATTAGCCCGGTGAACGCTTGCAAATCAGAACATTACCTGCTCCTGAGCGTTTACTGAACTGTGAACAAAGAAATGCCCAAGAAGAATTTGTTGTTCTGAATGGCAAGACTGAACTGAATGTGTTCAATTTGGAAGAGAACACAATAATTATCTGCCAAAAGCTGGCAAGCTGAACACTTACAGCAAACTACTTGAAGGTTCCAAAGAGATTAAGGGCGACACAGGATTCTTCCTCCCTAAAGAACATGCACACAGAGCACTGAAAGCTGTTCACAGTCAATTTTATTGGGCTCTTAAATTAGTCTGGGGGGGTTTTTTATGTACCATTGCCAATATGTTCTTGCAATTCATCACTTCTCAGAATAATTCACTGTTTGAATAAAAAGTGACTATAGTGAACCACGGCCACATCAAAATATTCCATCTGATTCCCAGCACAGTTGTGTCTTCCACATGTGTCAGACAGTGCTGAGCGGGCAGGGAAACGCTGCTAAAGACTTCAGGACACTGAGAGATCCTCCTTCACCACGGACCAACACAGCCCAGGAAGGAAACCTGTAATTTGTGGTACAACACAGCCCTGACACGTGAGTCAGGGCAGCACATGCATCGCCAAGACTGCGGCTCTTAAAAGAGCATGAGAAGATTAAAGAAAGATCAAACACTGCTTTTGTTTTCTAATAGAACTGAAGGGATTTTGCTGCGTTGCTGAAGTGTTTTGAACCAGAAGTTTTTGCCTCAAATCCAGCTTTGCAGACAGGAAATAACTGAGCTGCGTTATCCAATGTTCCTCCAGCAGTCTGATAAAGCAGAGCATATTATAAAATGCTGCACATTCCCTGTATGATGGAGTTGTGGTTAAACCAGGGCAGAGAGGTCTCTCTTTACAAATAAAATCATTAGATATTCCACACCTTTGTCTCAGGATTCCCAATTTCGCTCTCTAAATACAATCACAAAACACAAATTAGTTTCTCAAAAGCAAAGGAGCTGCAGGAGACCCTGAAGGACTCCACACAAGAATGAAAAGCTGCTGCTGTAGGACTCAATGCACCTAAAAACGGTGTTGCAAGGACCATTTTCTCCTGTCCCATGAAACACATATGGTGTGTGCAGATCCTGATGTGGAGCACAAGTAAAAAGGTCAGATGTGCTCACCCTCAAAACCTCCACAGCTGCTACTGGGCTTGACATGAGAAGCTGCAACACCTCTTTGGTTGAGAGAGAGACACCTGTGTGCAGATCTGTTAAAAAAATTATTTTAAGCCTGCAATTCTGCAGTTCTCCAACAATGTACTTTTTACAGCTTCCCACCAGCCTCTGGAACATTTGTGTACTCTGATATATTCGAAGCTGCATTGTGCATCAAGAAAAACACAGTCTGGTGAAGCAGCTTGAACTGCAAATTTAACTTTCTTAATGCACGTTAACAGCAAGAGCACTGACAGGCATAATTTCAACCAAAACAGCACTGTAATAAAGCTTCTTTTCCAACTGCTTCCCTTAGCAACTCATGCTCAGAGGAGAGTCAAAATAACAGGATTTATTCCACTTTTATCCTTGCTAGTATTTCAGTTGTGTTTAAAGACATGAAAGCATTTCAGAAGTCAGACTATTTTAAACCCATTGCAGTCGTTTTTCATAGCCAAGGGAATTGTACTTGCTGCTGCTGCTGCCCTTAGATTTTGGAAATCTACTATCAGGAATAACGAGTTCCTTTCAGCATTTCACCTTTAAAACAGCATCCAGGTCTGACCCCAAACCAGTCTTCAGGATGACCAAAGACTTCTGGCTTTTTGCTTCTCAAGCCATGCCCAGGGCTAATAAAATACCTTGATAACAGTCACGTGTTCAGTCCTTCAGTGGGAAAAGTCAGTCATTTATGCAAATAAATTACTCAGCTTCTCTGGCCAGATTAATACATTGCCAGTCTCCTGCCTTCAGGGATAGGGATTGTTCCGTATTTCCATTAGATGACTCAAAACTACCTTCTATACTGAAAAGAAGAAATAAAGAAAAACAAATCTTGCAAGTAATCTGATGCTATGCTGTTCTAGTAGCTGAATCCTCCAAAGAGAAATTCTAACTGAAAATAAGCAGTGAATAAGCAGGAATTTCAGGCACCATTTGGAAAACTAAACATACTGACTGCTTTATACACCTTAATTGCACGAAATCAAGCTCTTAAGATGTTTTATTTCTTTTTTTATGTTTTCTGATCAAAATGGCTGGGACAGTGACCTTCCAAGAGCAGCACAACATTCTCCAAGGGCACCTCAAGAGAACTCATGAGCAGATTCATCCTGGCAATCCAGTCTAGTCTGTAGCACTCGATGTGTGCCACATCCCAAATTTAAATTCCTGCCTGCAGCACCTGCCTATGTGTGGGCACTAATCCTATACACTTGCAATACGTGGGACTTCTGAATTATTCATAAACACACAAGAAACAAGAAGGGTCGCTCCAGCAGGATGCTGCCCTGGCCCTGGCCTGACAGGCTGCATTCCAGCAGCTTGATCATTCCTGCACTATATTCCTTCCTTCCCCCGCATTAGAGCACTGCAGATCAATAGGAAAAGCATTGGCTCATGGGAGGGCAACCAAGAGGTTTCAAGTTCTTGGCAGCTGCATTCGGAAAGGAACAATTCTGGATTAACTCTCACAGACACACTGCCGGTCAGAGCTCTCTACCTCTCTCCTTAAAATCCACCCATACATTTAAAAATCATTTCACTTGCACAAGGCAGTGTGATCTCGCTGCCAGTGCCTGAAGGATGTGAGCTCACATGGCAGTGATCGGCTCGGGGGTGTGTGTGGAAGAAAACAGATGGTTAGAGCGGATATACCTCAAAAAGCTCTAGAAATAGGTTT